TCTGCCCCACTGGTCTGTCGCAGGCGAGTTCTGAAGTCTGGGTCCCCGTGGCAGGACCTGCAAGACAAGCTCCCTTCCATGTGGCATTTGGGCCACAAGGCCATGGTCACGGTGTGATTGGGTACGTTGGCTTGGGGGCCCCCTGGTGGCCACGCCTGGGGAGACAAGCAAGGTAAACCCACGCTGGTGGGGCGCTCGCTCCCTCCTCTGTCCCGCTCAGCACGGCTCCTCAGGGCTCCGCCTGCCGCAGGCTGTGGGGGCTCGAGGTGTGTCTGTCTCTGGATCTTCTCCTCGTCCCCCCATACCTAGAACCTCCTGGCTCTTGCGGATCCTTCCCACAGCCACGCGTCTCGACGGTCAAAGGTGGGTTGTGACAGCTGGCTCTGGACTTCGCTGTCAGGGCAGAGAGAGGCAAAAATGGAAAGGCGAGGGAGCGGGTTCCAGGGGAACTGCCCAGCCCGGGGGCAGCGCAGCCTGCAGGGAAGCTCCCCACCGGCCCTGGGGCCAGGCCAGGCAGTGGCCTCTCCTGGAGCAAAGGCATCAGCCATTCAAAACAACGACAAAACAGCCAAGGTGGCAGGCATGCGCCCTGCTTCCCGAGCACCGTCGAATTCGTGGCACGTCCGCCTCTGGAAGAAGCTCAGTCCACCGAGAGACGCAGTCTGCAGGACATTCGCTCCGCATCGCAGGCTCCTGAAGGCGCTGGGGTCTCGCGAGAACCGCAGGCACACCTGCCAGCCCCCGTGCAGGCCGTGATGTGGAGGGCGCGGCCTGCCTGGACCCCAAGGTGACAGCCACCTATGCAGGAGTTGGAAATGCCATGCTTGCCCACAGCCACTGCCCTTGGAGGTCTGGTCTCTTTCCTTGGTGCCGACAGCAAGCTGGGCAGGGCCTCCTCTCCTCTAGGGCCCCCTGGGTGCTGCCTCCCTCCCAGTCTCCACGATCTCCTTTTGCTCACAGCTTCCGTGGCGGGCTCCCTGCTCCTGCCCTCACGCCTGCCTTCTGCATCTGCAGAACAACAGGGGGGTGGGGGCGTCTCTGGGCAGCCTCTGCTTTCTGCCCCTCTGCAGCCCCCAGAAGGGAGGCCAGAACAGAGCTGGATGGGCATAGAGAGATCCCACACATGTCACCGCATGGTCTGTCCCACTGGTGTCACCACTTTCCACTTGTCATCTCCATGCCTCCTAGACTGGCGTCCTCAGGTCTTTGCAAGAACTTAGGGGTCCTAAACCTCAGGATAAACTTTGCACATAAATGACCAGAAAAGGTAACTAGTTGAAACCATAGTATATTTTGAAGCTCTATTGTGTAAGGAGAATACCCCAAAAGATCCGTTTGCCTTGAGTCTAACAACTGCACTGATTCCAGAATTCACCAGAGGACTTGGGTTTGGGGACGGGATTCTCCACTCTGTTCCTCAAAGCCCACTATCCCAGCTTCTCCTGCCGCTGTGGGCTTTAGCCCAGCCCTATGGCGTGGCCCGGGGTCTTCCTGAGCTGAGACTGGGATGTCTCTCCCTCCTTGGACGCCATTCTCCTTCCCCTGCTCCATGCGAGGCTGGTGAGGAAAGCCAGCATCCCTCCCCCGCCCGGGGCAGGGACTCTGAATTCTGTGTTTGTTCTGTGCTGTCTCCCTCACTTCACTGCCACAGGCTTGGACTGCTGTTTCTTGATTTCCCGGTGTAGATGTGGTTTAATGAACTCCTACTGCGGAAGAGGAGGACGCAGCTGTTGGGAACCCCCTCTGAGCATATGCGCGCTCTCTCCACCGCGCCCGTCACGGTAGCTGTAGCGTGATTTTTGGCCAAAGCAATATGAGGTCTTTACATAGTTATGGCTGTGTTCATGTGATTCACAGTTGAACCACGTAGCGCACATTTCCTATTCTGTGCAACTTCTTGTTTTACTTGGAATAAACAGTGGCCCAGGTTCTCCTGTTTGGTTTTCTATCCCTATTCATCCCTAGCTTAGGCCAGAAGGGGGCTCTCTTTGCAGCGTGCAGACCAGCTGCGGAGGCCCCGCCCCAGCCTCCTGGGGATCCCACCCTTGCAGGAGCTGCTCCACCCAGCTGCCCAGCTGTCATTCTGGGGTCCTGGGAAACCTTTGTCTTTCCTGTGTTGGATCCCTACTTGCTGAATGATAGGTTCTCTCTTGGTTTTCTCCCTAGATTTGGAGAAGCATGTCCACCTGTAGTTTCCTGGAAGACGTTTTGTGCACATGTGGCATGTGTTCTGAGAGCTCCTGCGTGCAAAAGTTGGTTATTCCACCCTCACATTTGATGGCAGCTTGGTTGGAGGTTCTCAAGCGCAGACTTTGAAGCTGTGGCCATGCCTTCCAGCTCACAGGCCTGCCTCCAGAAGTCAGATGTCTTTCTGATCCCCCTTCCTTTACTTGGGGCCCGATTCCTCTCTGAAATCTTCCAGAATTATCTTTGTCTCCTGGGAGTGCTCTGGTGCGCATCTCATTTCAAGTGAAAGTGCTCAGCGGGTCATTTCGAACTGGAGACTCATGACCATTACTCACAATCTGACACATTTTATTTTATTATTTTCTTTAATTACTGCCTTTCTCCCCACTGCATATATTTTTTGTGTTCTCTTCTCTAAAACTTTATTTTTCTGATACTCTCAAAGTAAAAAAAAAAAAAATAGGAAAAGAAAATTAAAAAGAAATAAAACTTTATTTTTTAATTATGGACCTCATTGGCTGATTCTCTAATTTTTGTAGCTCTTCTGTCCTATGTTTCATCTCTTTGTTTGTGTTCTACCTTTTAAAAGATTTTCCTCAATCTTTCTACTGAATTTTCTTTTATGCTATTCCTTTATATATTTATCATTTTAATTTCCAAGAGTACTTTTTAAGTTCAGAATGATCCCTTGAACGTTTATTTTATTATTTGTAAAAGCAACTGGTTCTCATTTCGTGGAAATAGTATCTGCCTGTGTCCACAGCTCTGGCCCTCATGGCCCTCCTGGGCATCCCTGTCCCGCCCAGCGCCCCTCGTCCACTCCATCCTCCACAGCACTCTTTCTTCTCTTAACTCTCCTAATATTTATTAATGCTTATCATACAAACACTAAGTACATTGTCATCACAAAGAATCAAATAGCACTGAAGTCTACTCAGAGAAAAATATGAAAGTTTCTCTTCACCAAACCTTTCCTCACGTGTCCACCTTCCCAGAGGTGGCCATTCACAACGTTTCCATGATTGCTCTTTAATTCTGTCACAAGAACATGGGGAAAGTATGATCCATGAGTACTTTCCCCATGTTCTTGTGACAACATCAGTGCATTGCATGTTTGCCTCTCTGAATGGAGAAAAATACCTTTTGTCTTAATTTGTATATTTTTTTTGGAGACAAAGTCTCGCTCTGTTGCCCAAGCTGGAGTGCCGTGACATTATCACAGCTCACTGCAACCTCAAACTCCTGGGCTCAAGTGACACTCCTGCTCCAGCCCCGGGACAGCTGTGTTGTGGCTAGTGCACAGCTAGTGTTACAGCTCTCGACGGGGAAAGAACCGAGCCGCAAATACGTTCTGTGGTTTCCCCTGCCTGCCGCTGATAAAGTCTGCGCGATGCCGTTGAACTTGGGCTGCTCTGCCTGGCCGCTCCGGGGGCGCCGCGCCGTCAGGACCAGCATGAGGAGAGCGTGGGCTTTACCCCGGCGACACTTCCTCAACCCCATCCAGAGCAGCCCGAGGGCACTGCCGGGGAAGACCCAGCTGTCCTCCCCGCCCTCCCCCACCCGAGAGGGACCGTTCGTTGTCTTTCCGCCTGGACTCGGGAGGGCGGGCAGGGGAGAGGCAGGGCTGCTGCAGTGTCTGGCGCGCTCTCGAGGGGCGCTCTGGGCGTTTGCGCACGCCGTCTGCTGTGGGCCACGTGGCCGTTCTCGTGACAGAGGCAAGGTCTCTGACTGGGGTCCCTTGGAGTGCCCCTCACCCTTAATTTGGGGTCCTGATGCCCTGGGCCCTTCCTTCTCAGCAGAGTCCTTTGACTCCAGTTGGGCCACCCTGAGCAGGTGTGCCACACCCCCACCCCTCAGCCTTCTGAAGGACATGTGTCATACTCCGGAACCTTCTTGAAGTTCCTCTCATAACGAGACTCCATGTGGCGCGGGCTGAGGGGCAGCTCGCCTCTCCTCCTGTGTGTGTGTGTGTGTGTGTGTGAGTCCTCCTCTGTGTGTGTGTGTGTGAGTCCTCCTCGGTGTGTGTGTGTGAGTCCTCCACTGTGTGTGTGTGAGTCCTCCTCTGTGTGTGTGTGTGTGTGTGAGTCCTCCTCTGTGTGTGTGTGTGTGAGTCCTCCTCTGTGTGTCTGAGTCCTCCTGTGTTTGTGTGTGAGTCCTCCTGTGTGTATGTGTGTGAGTCCTCCTCTGTGTGTGAGTCCTCCTCTGTGTGTGTGTGTGAGTCCTCCTGAGTCCTCCTCTGTGTGTGTGTGTGTGTGTGTGTGTGAGTCCTCCTCTGTGTGTGTGTGAGTCCTCCTCTGTGTGTGTGTGTGTGAGTCCTCCTCTGTGTGTGTGTGTGAGTCCTCCTCTGTGTGTGTGTGTGAGTCCTCCTCTGTGTGTGTGTGAGTCCTCCTCTGTGTGTGTGTGAGTCCTCCTCTGTGTGTGTGTGAGTCCTCCTCTGTGTGTCTGAGTCCTCCTCTGTGTGTGTGTGAGTCCTCCTGTGTGTGTGTGTGAGTCCTCCTCTGTGTGTGTGTGAGTCCTCCTCTGTGTGTGTGTGAGTCCTCCTCTGTGTGAGTCCTCCTGTGTGTGTGTGTGTGAGTCCTCCTGTGTGTGTGTGAGTCCTCCTCTGTGTGTGTGTGAGTCCTCCTCTGTGTGAGTCCTCCTGTGTGTGTGTGTGTGAGTCCTCCTCTGTGTGTGTGTGAGTCCTCCTGTGTGTGTGTGTGAGTCCTCCTGTGTGTGTGTGTGAGTCCTCTGTGTGTGTGAGTCCTCCTCTGTGTGTGTGTGAGTGTGAGTCCTCCTCTGTGTGTGTGTGTGTGTGTGTGTGTGAGTCCTGTGTGTGTGTGTGTGTGTGTGTGTGTGTGTGTGTGTGTGTGTGTCTCACAGGAAGCTCAGGGGATACAGTCAACTCTCTGCCTCTCCTATGGGTGAGGGGACAGGATCAGACCATCCTTTCAGCAGGTCCTGAAATAGAGGTCCAGCGTTTACACCTGGGGTTAGTTGGCACCTGCTGTGTTATTCTTCACCTTTGGAGCCTCGGGCCAGAGGGAGACTGAAAAAGCCCATCTTAGTGTTCAGTATTATTGCCTTGTCTTAACGATCTGTCCCAGTCTTCACCCATTTTTCTATCGTATTGTTTACCATTTGTGATTTGTAAGAGCTATTTGGGGCTTCTAATCCTTTGTTAGAAAATTATGCATGTTACTTGTTTCTAAACTTTATTATGTGTTTTGATCTATGGAAGTTTTTAATTTTTATGAGATTAATCTGTTGTTATTTCCTTTATGGCTTCTGGGTGTTGAATCTTCCTTTCTTGGGAAGGGAATCTCCACCCTAAAGTTGTAAAAATGTCTTTTTTCCTCCTAAAGTTTTGTGTGTGTGTGTTTTTCCATTTAGGTCTTTTAAATATTTATTTTTATTACAAAAATGCATCCTAATATAGCAAAAACCTCAATACAGAGTATATGACTAAATCAGTTAACGATGTCTTCTGTTTCTACCTCCAGGCCAGCTTCTGCAAGTAGCCAGAGTTGGCAGTTGAGGTCTCTCTCTCACCTTCCTCGGTGCTCATATATTAATAAATATGTATTCTAATAAATGGAGTTTGATTTTATTTTGTTTTACCAAAGTGGGATGATGACCTTTGGATACATCTGAAGCTAATTATTTATACCTTATAGATTTCATTACAACGTTTTAAAAATATTTTTAATTTAAATTTTGATTGAGCTAACTGTAGATTCATATGCAGTTGTGAAAAATAACACAGATGGATCCTGTGTACCTTTTACCTGATTTCCTACAATGGTAACATCTTGCAAAACTGTAGTACAAAATCACAACCAGGATAGTGACATTGATGCAATGTAGCCATTTTATCTCTATTTTACTTGTACTCGTGTGGGTGTGTATTTCGGCACAACTTTGTTATGAATTAAATGTTTGTGTCCCCCCTAAATTCATATGTTGAAATTCTAAGCGTCAATGTGATAGTATCGGGAGGTGGGGCCTTTGGGAGGTGACTGGGTCATGAGGAGGAGCCCTCATGAGAGGGGTCAGTGCCCTTATGGGAAGAGAGGTGAGAGAGGTGATTTTTCTCTCAGCCATGTGAGAAGACCGCTGTCTGCAAACCAGAAAGGAAGCCCTCACCGGACATCAGAACTGCCAGCCCTTGATCTTGAACTTCCCAGCCTTCAGAACTGTGAGAAATAACTGTGTTGTTTAAGCGCCATACCCTATGGTGTATTTGTTATTGCAGCCTGAGCTGACCAACACAGACCTAGCCTGCTTTCATTTAGTAGCTCTGCAGCGTGCCACAGTGCAGGTGTGGTGTGACTGACTCCACCACCCTGGTGGTGGTGTCTCAGGTTTTTGGGTCTTTTAACTATTGCCAATGATGCTGTGATAGACATTCTCTTGCAGAGATTCTTACATATTTGCGAGAACTTGAACTGGATTTCCGTAAGCTAGATTTTCAGATTTAATAATTTTAATAGATATTGCATACCACTTTTCAAAAAATTGTAGCAATTCACACTATCACTAGCAAATATATGAAATTAGCCCTTTCCCCACCTCCTTGCTAGCAATGTAAACTCTTAGTCTTCTTAGTTTTATTCTAATATTTTATCACTTTATAAGTGACATATTTAAATTCCTTTGGAAATTACTTTGAAATATGTAGTGTAGAAAGGGATCTTTTTTTCCCTGTAAGTCATTCCAGTTAGCTATTACTGCAGGACACACTACCTGCAAACTTGGTTAACCCTAAACCAATAATTCACTAGTATTATTATTACATCATTTGATTCTCTGGATTAGGAATTGGGACAGGGAACAGCAGTAATGACTTGCTTTTGGTCCTCAAAGTCTGGGCGCTCAGCTAGAGAATGGAAGAGATGAGGGGGTGGCCCACGCCTTCCTCCTCTGTGCCCCATGGACTTCCCCACAGTTCGTCGGACTCAGGATAATCAAACCTCTCACAGGGCAGCACAGGGCTCCAGACTGAGGAAACAGAATCTGCAGTCCTCTTAAAGCCAGAGCTGTGACCGGCACGGCGCCACTTCCAACATACTCTGTGGGTGAAAGCAGTGACAATCCAGCCCAGATGCAAAGGGAGGGGCCGAGCCCCCACCTCTCCATGGGAGGCGTCTCGAGACTTTGAGACCATCTTTCATCCCCACACTGGTGGTTCCCCAGCTGAGCCAGTGCCAGTTACTCATCGTCCTTTAGTTACTGAATTGAAATGTCACCTTTTCATATCACCCCCATTCTACTTCACTTTTACTTTGTCTTTTTCTCACCTAAAGCTGTTGTGTCTTGCTTCCGATGGTGTCATGGCGTGATGTCTGGTGAGCTAGGCCCGGGCCTGACCCTGCTCCAGAACTGGCTGGCCATTCTGGCTCGGTCACACGCTCAGGTGCAGTTTGGGTTAGTTGTTCATATTCTGTAGAAATCTTGTTTGGATTTTTACTGGAATGGCTCAAAATGTATAGTTCTGGGAGGATGTATATCTCAATGTTAAGTGTCTCCTTTAGAGACACAGCACATCTATTTTGGGGCCTTCTTTTTGTATGTAAGTCTTACCATTTTCTTTACACAGGTGTTACTGGAGATGTTGCTGCATGTCTTAGTAGATAAAGTGCTTTTTAAAGGTAAATCGCTTGGGTTTCCTGGGTGATAATATTATCTGCTAATGATGTCAGTGTTGCTCCCATATTCGTACTTCTTGTAAACAGCTCTTGTGTTATTGCTTTGATGAACACTTCAGTATCTGTTGAATGTTTAATAGTGGTGCTGGCGAGAGGCAGCCTTCTTTCATTTCTTTCTGTAGCAGAAATACACTGATCATTCACCTTTTAGTACTTTATTGATAGAGATACCCATCCCTAAAGAATTTCCCTTCCACTCCTGTTTAGCTCAAAGTCATTATTGTAAATGGGTTTTTAGTTTTTTCAAATGCATTTCTTATATTTTTTAAAATAATCATATGAATTTTCTTCTTTAACTTGCTATTCCATTGACAGACTTTCAAGTGTTGAATAATCTTTGCCTTCTTGGAATAGCCCTGCATGAAAGTGAAGAGCCTGCTCCCCTGGCTCCACACCCCGGGCTACCCTTTGAAGGGTGCCTTGGGGCAAGTCAGCCGAGATGCGCACTCAGCGGGCTCTGCTCTCGGGTCACAGCCAGGAAGTTGTTTTATATGTTCTGTCCAGCTTTTATATGAGTCACAGCAGAGTGATAGCCCACATACTAGTTACTATGCCATTTTTTAATTTTTTTCAGTTTTTACTATTTTTAATTTTACAAAAATGTAAAATTTTACAAATAGTCTTTTACCTGGTTTCTGATTGTTTCATTACTATAGATGCCTATATATAGGCTTAACGTGTTTTTGATCTATATTGCAAAGCTTGCTTTCCAAAAGTCTACACTAATTGACAGTAACATAAGAGAGTATCTATTTTATTCCACCCAAGCCAGCATTGATTAATATTAAAGTTTATATCTTGATTACTGTGTAATGAGAAAGTTTCATACCTCATAATTTATATTTGTTTGATTATTAAGATGCCACAGATGTTTTCATTACTTTAAAAACGAACTTCTAGTTTTATACCAGTTCTAAATTTAAGAACTACAGAGAAGGCAGCACAGAGAGCTCCTGCATCCACCCAGGTCCCACTGCTGACGTGTCATGCTGTCAGCGTGGTGCGTTTGTCACCACCCATGAACCACACGGGTGCATCGCCGTAAGTAAAGCCCACACTCGAGGCCGATTTCCTTAGTTTCCACTTCACATCCTCCTTCTGTTCCAGGATCCCGTTCACGACACCGCCTCACATATAGTCATTGTGTCTCCTTAGGCTCCTCTTGGTGGTGGCTGTTTCTTTGGTTCTTGTTTTTGATGACCTTGACAGTTTAAGGAGCACTGATCAGGAATTCTGCAGATGACCTCAACAGTTGTAAGGAGTGCTGATCAGGAATTCTGTGGAATGTCTTGCAGTTGGGATTTGTCTGATGTCTTTCTCATGGTTACACCGGGGTTTGTGCTCTTGGAAGGAGGCCCACAGAGGAAAGGGGCCCTTCTCGTCCATGTGTCAAGGGAACGAGACAGGTGAGCTGTCCTCCGCTCTATGCGTAACTGTTGAGAAGGACCTTGACCGCCCGGTTGGGTTAGCCTTGCGGGTGTCTCCGCTGAGAGTCACTCTTTTAAAAACATGCCTTTCCACACTGTGTTCTTTGAAGAAAGTCATTTCCCTGCCCCCTGCAAGAGCCACAAGGGGAACTTTCTGAGCTCTTCAGCATGACAACCTAGTGGGGTTCCTAGAGGTAAAGCCCACGAAAGCAAGACACCCCAAAACTGCAGCCCCCTGGAGCTTCTCATGGCTGCGTTGCTCCACACTCCACCTCCAGTAATCCCTCAGAACTGCCCTGACCATCCCGCCAGCTCTGGCTCAGCTCGCCGCGACGCTGGCCTGGCCCGGCCGCCCGCATTCCCAGGTGGTGGTTTGCCCTGTGACCTCTGTTCTCTGATGGGTCCAAGAAAAGTTGTTAATCTTCAGTTTTCCAGCTTTTTCTTGTGAGGATGGAGTGATGATTTCTAAACTCTTTACGTTTTAGAGCTGAAGCCAGAAGTCCTCTTGTTTTTATTCCTGCGTTTCCTAGTAGTTTTCTTTCTTACTAATTTATAGAGATTATATATTAAGAATATATAATTCTTGGTAATATTTGTTGTGAAAGTGATTTCTTTTCTTCTTCGTTCTTCTTTCTTTCACTGGGCGAGATCATGTAAAGGTCCGAGAATTCAGTGTGAAGTGGAAAGAGTTTGCCCAAGGTGACTGAAGGTGACAATTGGATAGACTTTGTATCCACCAAGTCCAGCGTGAAAAGCTCTGTACCCCTTCCCAGGCCGCAGAGGGCTCCCACCTTTGCCCCTCTGCTGGCCTGTGGGCTCTGAGGGGCGGGCCTCCTCCTGTTGGAGGCGAGCCTCCTGCATCGCCTTCTGGCAGTTTCCACCCCTCTGGGGCCTCCTCCCCAGCTGAGAGCGAGATTCGGCACTTACACCTTCTCACATCCCGAGAGCTCTCTTGGGCTGTCAATCTGATCTTGCTTTCTCCCCTTTCACAGACAAATTAGTAGAAGATGGAGACCAAAGAGCAATCTTTAAAACGCGCTCACATCCTGCTCTTACTTCCATAGCGCTGCCTGCTTCCCAACCTGCAACCCCTGCGGCTCTCACCGCGTACGGCCAGACGTGCCGCCACTCACAGGCTGCCCAGTGTCCCTGAGAGCTCCTCCCGTGCCTGCCCCTCTTCTGCACACTCTACCCTTTTACCACTTCTTTCTCTTTAACCAAGGCCCGAGTGTCCACATGGTCTGGACCCCCAGAAGCCCCTCCCTGCAGCAGGAGCTCTGTCTGCAGGTGTAGTGCCCTGTGCACCCCAGATGACATGGAAGGGAAGACCAGGGAGAAAAGTTTTTCCCACTTTTGCATGCAAAGCCCAAGCTCAAATTGTGAGCCATTGTTTCCTTTCTTCAAAGGGCTAATTAGAGTGTTGCTTTGATTTTGATTTTCCATATAAAAGAAAAGAGGAGAAAAACATTGTTTCTTCTGAGAACTTCTTTCAACATCCCAGAAGCCTGGGGGGTTGTCGGGAGGATTGGTGTGTGACATCTGTGTAGGGGTTTGGGCAGGCACTGTTTACTTTTATAAATCCATTTTGTTGTCCATGTTCTCAGGAGGCATCGGTCGGTCACTGGCGACAGTTTAACCACATGACAACCTCAGGCAAAGCTCTCATCCGCCCAGTGAGGAGCCTCTCAACAGGACATAGAAGAACTTGGACGTTTAAGTTTTCTTGGAAGATGAAGGGGTGATGAACCAGCTAATGCCAACCGTTTCCAGGAGATGGGGAACAGGCTATGACTGGTGAGAGGGGGAGTGAATTTTAGCTGCCATCTGTCTGGAACTACAGTGTGACAAGTCAACTCACAACAGGCCTATGCTAATTTCTGAGGGGACCAATGAGGTGGACACTGCTTACCTAGAAGTGGAAGGAAGGATGTCATGCCTGCTCTCTGTTGAAGTAAAGCATGGGGACGTGGAGGCCCTGTGCCACTGTGCACTCTGTGCACTGTGCAAGCAAGGGCTTGTCGCTGAATGGGATGCAGATCCACCTCTGCTTTGCCAGCATAAAGGGCCCGCGTGTGTGATCTTGAGCATGGGTATCTGACCTTGTGCAGAGCGCAGGGGCTGGAGCAGTGCGGGTGGGCCCCAGACAGGCTCCTCTCACACCTTGGGTCAGACGTGTCCCGGGCAACTGGCAAGCCCCAGCCTGGAAGCAGACTCACACCCTATCACAGTATGCCGCTGCCAGCAGGGGTGGTGGTGGCTGGGGGCAGGCTTTGCTTGGTTTCCAGGAAGCACAGACAACCAACACAAAAGCAATCATACCAAAGGAGACTTGAGGACTGGGAGTGGGGAGGGCGCGAGGTCGGAGCGTGGTGCCCCATGCCATGTAGCAGGGCTGCTGGAGGGAAAAAGTACCATGCTTGTCACCAAAGCCACAGGTATCTTTTTTAAAAGGCAGCTTTTTATGATATGACTCACATATTATATAATTTATTCACTTAAAATGTACAATTCAGTGGGTTTTTGTATATTCAATATTGTGCAACAATCAACACAGCCAATTTTAGAAGACATTTTTCACCCCCAAACAAAACCCTGCACCCCATGATCCCCCCACCCCCCAGCTGCAGGAAACCACTAACCGACTCTCTGTTTCTGTAGATTTGCCCGTGATGGGTAGTGCCTATAAATCAAATCGCACACTATATAGGGCTTTGTGTCTGGCTTCTTTCCCTTAGCATGACATTTTTAAGGTGAATGTTTGTAGCATGAATCAGTTTTTCATTCCTTTTTATGGCTGAATACTATTCCGTCATATGGATGTACCACATATGGTTTATACATTCATCAGTTGATGAGGTTGTTCCCACTTTTTTACTATTATGAATATTGTTGCTATTAACATTCATGTACAAGTTGTGTGTGTGTGTGTGTGTGTGTGTGTGCGTGTGTATACATACGTTGTCAATTCTCTTGAGTATATCCCTAAGACTGGACTGTGGGGCCATATGGTAACTATATGTTTAACTTTCTGAAGAACTTCTAGACTGTTCTGAAAAGCAGTGGCTTCATCTCACATTTCTGCCAGCAGTGTATGAAGGTTTCATTTTTGCCAACACTTGTTATTATCTGTCCATTTGACTATATTTGCCCTACTGATACAAGGTAGTATGTCATTGTGGTTTTGATTTGTGTTTCCCTGGTGGCCAAAGGTTGAGCACCCTTTCACATGCTTATTGGACATCTGTGTATCTTCTTTGGAAAGATCTATTCAGATCCTTTGCCCATTTTAAAATTGGGTTATTTATCTTTTTATTATATTCTTTTTATATTCTAGAGATAAGTCCCTTATAAGCTTTATGATTTGCAAATATTTTCTCCTGTTCCGTGGATTGATTTTTCATGTTGATCTATCAAAGGATACCATCAAGTTTTTAACTTTAATGAATTATAATTTATCTACTTTCTTTTGTTGCTTGTGCTTTTGGTATCATATCTAAAAATCCTTTGCCAAATCCAAGTTCATGACGATTTATGCATACATGTTCTAAGAGTTCAATGATTTTAGTTATTACATTTATATTTGGATGTATCTTGATTTAAAAACCACAGATATGTTTTACAATGGAGAGATATTTGGAAGGAACGTTTGGGATAACTCATTCAATGACAGTTTGTGATTTTTAACAGATTCAGACACTATAAAATTTCATTTCTGCATGGTCATTTATTTGCATGCACAATAATAATGGCAATACAACCATAAAAATCATCGTGCAGCGTGTGAAGTGATGCACTAACAAAGCAAAGCAATAACTGGAAACATGTGCACCTTACAATGTGCTCTCCAGGCACCTGAGAGAAGTAGAAGGTGTCTGGAGGTTACCATAGGACTAGCTACATTATTTGGGGTGCTCATGGCAAAATGAAAATGCCAGACCTGTTCAAAAAGCAGCAAAGGGCCATTAAAGGAACAACACTGTAAAGATTTTCTGTCTTCCAGTCTCTCTCCTTCCTGTGGCATTTTCTATTAGCTATTGAATGTCCTGCTCCTTCCAGCTTGGGGATACTCGGGGCCCTCACAAGTTGCTCCTGGCCACCAGGGGTGGGACATTGAGCCCCACATCTTCTCTCCTGGTGGGCCTGCTGCCCAGCATGCAGTGGAGAGGGGACCCAGGGCATTGCAATCTTCACAGCAGGACACACTGGTACCTGGGCTGGGGATCAGCGAGAGGCTTGCACCTGCCAAGTCACCTGCTGAACACACCGAGGTGCTGACAGCCTGTGTGTGGATGGCCACTGTCATGCCTCCCCACCAAGATGCTATGGGACACCCATATCTGACCTTGACCCTCCCCCATCTACACCCAGGCCTCCGTCGGGGGCAGAGGGTAGCAGTTGTCACTGGGTGGGGGTGGTTCAGTAGGATCCTAGATTCTGGGAACAGCTGATGTCCAAGAACCCACCCTGGGAGGTAGCAAAGGGCAATGAGGGGGGTCGCCTGTGCCGAGGCTGAGAGCCCCAGTGTGTGCTCCTCCGTCCATCTGACCTCACTGTGAAACACGGATTCAAAGATTACGAAGACTTTCCAGGGGGCAGTCAGCAATGACAGTGTGTTAAACCCCAGACAGAGGCCCCTGAGGGCAGCACCTGTGATCTGTGTTGGTCACCTGCACATACAGCCAGTCCTGCGGCCCCATGAGATTTGTTGGGAGACAGGGCCGAGGTGCCAGCTCAGAGGCTACCTGGTGAGGGGACAGGACAAACACCGGTCCACCAGTGGTGGGAGGGTCACTACCAGATGCTCTCAAGATCCCTCATGCTCAGGAGTCTCATGGACAAGGGGCCTCCTGTTGTCACAAGGACACACCCCACGGATCACCCTTGTTGAGGAAGCAAACCAAAGAGCTGGAGGAGGTGGCTCTCACCCCACAGAGATGGGCGGCAGGACAGCAGTGACCCCCATGCTCTGTCCGCCCTTGGAAGCCGGAGCTAGGAGGGAGGACACGGGGAGGAGAAGAGCCCCTGGGCTTCCGCCGAAGATGTGTTTACCTGGAGAGTGGAGTCTCAGACCACAAGTGACCGAGTTACTTTGACTTGGCACTATCACGTTTGTTGGTCTCAAATACCACTGAAGAGCCCCCTCAAAGTAAAGTCGATGCAGAGAGTAAATGTCCCGGCGTCTGCAGTCTGTGGACTGCGGCACCTGCAAAGGGTCACCCTGCACACTGGTCCCTGTCAGGGCTGACCCCAGGCGGGGCAGGGTGCTGAGCCCTCACACATCCAGTTAATTTTCATGAAAACCGCACATGGCAAGCACTACTTCACCTCCACTTTTTGGAAGAGGAAAGCAAGACTCAGGGAGGAGGAGTCCATTGGCTGAGGCCATGAGGTCTGCACTGAAAATGTGGCAGGGCCACACCCAGACCGCGACTGCTCGGACCCCACCTCCACCCCACCTCAGCTCTGTATCCGGTTTTCCTCCTACTCTTTGTGTGCGTTTGTCACATCCAGGTCTTTAGGTAAATACTTTGAGAATGTACCAAAAGAGGGTTTGTAAGGGCCAGAGCTCAGGGCTGCACGGTGAGGAGATGTGAGACCCTGAGAAGGTGGCCCCAGCTCTGCCAGTTGAACCACAGGATGGTGACAAGAAAGACTGTCACCCAAGAAAGCAGTTGAACCTCCTGTCACCTAAGCAGTGAGTCATGTAGGGCCACATGCCTGGGTTCAGGCATCTGTAGAGACCGGGGAGGTCCACCCTGCACGGTGGTGGGCCAGCTCTTTAGTGGCAGGCCGCGCCTGACCCAGGAGCCCGGATTTGGGAAGCAGAAAGCAGGTCGTGGTGAGACCAAGCCAGCCCATGCAGGAAGCTCTGGGCCAAGGGGAAACCGTGTCCTCAGCTATGCGGCAGCACAGACCCCCGGTTTCCTGGTGAGCGAGGGGTTTAGGTTTGCAAGAGATGCTCCAGGGCGGAGCTGTCTGCCCTAACGCGCGCCACAGGCGTGCACTGCACGTCTTTCCTGCCGGTCACGTCTCCTGACGGAACTCCGTGCCGATGACGTCGCCTCGCACCTTCACACTCCCTGCACACTGGGGGCCAGAAGGGCCACCCTCCATGGAACTAATTACTGGGAAGACCGCCACTCCCCGCCTGTGCGTGACACCGACACGCGTGCGTGTGTCACCGGCCCCCCTGTCCTTCACGCGACTGCACACAGGCTCTCCCAGACTTGCTCTCTCTGGTCTTTCAGCTCAGTCTTTCTGGATTTCTCTCTCCTCATAAAGCCACTCCTTACGACCTGTGGACATGGCAGCCTTAATTGACAGGTATGTCCTATTGTGCTTCATGGCCACTCAGCGTTCATGGAAATGCACATCACTGAAAGGACTATAGACAAATGCTAATAACTGCCTCTGGCAGCACGATTAACAGCTTATTAAATGCACTGGGTCAAGCACCAATGGATAAATCCAGGTGGGGCTCTCGTTTGCCCAGGGTAGAGGGTGGTGGTGGGGACGGAGGGGAGAGGGAGCTTCTAAAGCCGGGGCCCTTGGGGGAGAAGCCTCCCTCTCTTGGGGTAGCAATGTGTGAAGAGCTTTGGTTTTCATAAGCTTTGCCAGCTATTCCAAATTACTTCTGATTTGCAAACACACAAACATAGAACCACGAACACAGGGGAATTTTCTTTCAATCACCCACGCAAAATGTTTATGCTCTTGAGTCTGCCTTCATTTCCTGTTTTCCGCTTCCTGTTCCGAGCCAGGCTGCGGGGCACTCGAGTCTCCGGGAGGCGTGATGACGCGCCGTCCACCAGCTTGGACGGGTTTGGTTTTGCTCTCAACACTCTTACAAGCATTTCCAACACACACAAAGTTAAAAGGATAGTACAGTAGAGCCTTGAAGGCACTAGACCCAGATTCAACAACCATTTGCATTTGGCCGTATTTATATACACATCTATCTGTCTGTCCATTTATTATTTTTGCTGAACTATTTTTTTTTATTCTTTGTATCTTTATTTTTTCATTTAATATCATAAGGTAAGCAGTTAGCATTTTTTTACATGTTATTTCAAAACTTGTTTTAATTCTGTATGAATTGTTACTTTACATATATTTTAAAAATTTCTATAGTTATTGGAAAGTTATTTTTCCATTCTAGGGTTATGATTAACACTACAATGAATTTTACATGGGTTGGTTCTAGTCTTTTTTTTTTTTATTTCGGCATATTATGGGGGTACAGATTTTAACGTTTCAATAAATGCCATTTCCCTCCAAAAAGTCTGAGTCTCCATCATGACCATCCCCAGATGGTGCACATCTCACTCATTATGTATGTATATACCCGCCCCCTCCCCCCTCCCACCTGCCCAATACCCTATTACTGTAGTACCTATGTGTCCACTTAGGTGCTACTCAGTTAATACCAGTTTGCTGGAGAATATATCTGGTGCTTGTTTTTCCATTCTTGGATACTTACTTAGTATTATGGGTTCCAGCTCTAACCAGGAAATATAAGATGTGCTATATCACCATTGTTTCTTATAGCTGAATAGTACTCCATGGTATACATATACCACATTTTATTAATCCATTCTTGGATTGATGGGCACTTGGGCTGTTTCCACAGCCTTTGCAATTATGAATTATGCTGCTATAAACATTCAAGTGCAGGTGCTCTTTTTGTAGAGTGTCATTGGAT